CTCTGTACCGCCAACGCCTTGTCGATGCACTTTAGGGCGTACTGCGTCTTGTCCAACTTGTGCTCCACGAGCTGGCGGGTTAGCATTAGGTCTGGCATGTCCTCCTACATGCGGCTTTTGGATGAATAATGAAACATAGTCGAACAAAAATCAAAAACAGTCAAACATATTAGAAGCACGGTACCTAAAATATTGTCTGACCATGTTTGGATATTCCTCCTGTCGGAAGGACATGCCCGACTTCAGGGTAGCAATGATGGGATTGAATGTTGACCTCGACGAGCTGCATCAAAGACCATAGGCCTCGCCATGCCGAGACGGAAGGAAGAAGAGGATGGGGATGGGAGAAGAGAGAGGAACAGACAGAAGGAGGAGGGAGTGGGAGGAGGAAGGAGGAGTGAGGAGGAGGAGGAGGAAGAGGAGGAGGAGGGCGGAGGAGGAGGAGGGGGAGGGGGACAGAAGGAAGAGGACAGGAACACAACAATGCCAACATAACCACGGAACATCAGTGAACGGCAATCAAAACGCGTCGCACGGAGGAGGAAGGAGGCTGGATGGTGGAGGAGAAGGGATGGAAGAAGAGACAGGCGAGAGGGGGCCTCCCCCCAGAACCGTTTCACGACCGCCAGCCCGAAAACATCGAACCACCTCTGGGGCCCGTTTCTCGGAAGCTGGGCAAAAGGCTGCTAAATCCTTAGCTAGTTTCTAAAATCGGCCTCTGGAAAGTTGTCTTCGTCCTTCCGGGAAGAGGCCCGTGGACTGTTTCGCGTGCCGCGCCTCATTCCGGGAAGTTGTTTTTCCCTTCCGGGAGGGCCGCTTTAGCAGCCACGGTTTTAGCAGCCCTCGCCAAGCTTTCGGGGGTTTCTACATACTCCAGATTTCGTAATGAAGGGAGGGGGGTCTCATTTCGGGGGGGGGGGGGTCTCTTCCAGGCTATCTTGGAGGGCCTGGGGGGTCTGGGGACGATGTTTTGGAGGGTTCTCCCACGGGGGAGGTCTGAAATGGCTTGTCTTGGAGGGTCCAGACCCCCTCCCTTTCATTACGAAACCTGGAGTACCCACCGCCTGTGGAACCGCTGCTCTCCCGACGATCGACCCCCCCAGGCGGGGAAGCCCCTCGCCTCGGAGGCCCACCTCCCTCGTGGTGGCCTATGGGCGAATCGGCGGTGGACAAACCTCCCTTTAGTAAACCTCCCCTTAGAGTGAAAACGGCCTGGGACCGAAACCGACGGACCTGGACCCGCAAAAATGACGGCCGCGACGCCCTCTCGCGAACCGAAAACGGCCAATTCCTTGATCGACGTGTCAGGGTAGGAGGTCTATCCACCTCCGAGCGAAGGCGATGTCGTGGTAAGATTGGCTCAGGATGAGTTCCAGGATTTCCAGAAGATCTGGCGGCCCTCGCTCCTGCAGCCCGTGCGTGAACATGCTACCAGGTTGGCAACCCTGGAACGCTTGGAAATCTTGGGACGTCTCATGATCTGGCGGCGCACAAATGGGTAGGGGGAGTGGAGCCCGCGCCTTCTAAGAAGCAGGGGTGCTTCTAAGAAGCCTTTGCCCCACCCCCTACTGAGACGAAACCATCCAAGCAGCTGAGGATACATCGGAAATCTCCACTCGGGGGCCGCGGCCTTCTCAGAGCGTTCTGGAGCGTTCGGAGAGCGTTCCGGAACGCTCAGGTTTATCCTCGTCCTCGCCCTACCCGACCTACCCCGCTCCCCCTACCCCCCTCTGGGGAAACCGAAAGGTACCAATACCGCCACTCCCTGGACCTCTCCTGGGGCGCGTTCTGACCAGGATCTCGAGGCGAGTCCAGCGGTGGCGACGGCGGAGGCCCGCGAGGCCACGGAGAAGGGAAAGGACGAGGGGAGGGCAGAGGTATGGGTGCCTTTTCCTCCTCTGACTCTCTGCGCGTGGCTGATGCAAGGGCGCCCAGCTTCTCGCTTCGCGCCGCGCGAAGCGCGAGTATCTCCGCGCTTTCGCGCCGCCCCAGAAGGGGAGAAGATGGGGATGAGGATGGATCGAAGCCGAACCGCGAATCGCGAGTAACTTCGCACCCTCGAGGGCGACCTTGCTGATCTTGAGGGGGCGAAGGACGTCAGAAGAGGGGGGCGAAGAACGTCATAAGAGGGGGCGAGGGGGCGAACAAATAAAACAAGGGGGGCGAGGGGGGCGGGGACGTCATAAAAGAACGTCGCTTCTCTGAGATGAAGGAGGCGGAAAACGTCACAAATGATATGTTCCGCCGTCGGGGACGCCTGCGCCCCAGGCAGCTGCAAAGCTTACACCCCTACGTGACACCCTGCGGGTATAAACTGTCCAGCCGCCCGGGGAGGCAGGCGTCCCCGGTGGCGGAACAGATTCTGATATATATATATATATATGTATACCGCTCTTCGCCCCCGAACAAATATCTCTTGGCACGAGCCCATGGAGGGAAACAAAAAAATCCGGTGGCAACTCATGGGAGCGTCCCATACCATCTTGTCGGCTCTTGCAAATCGACGCTAATCAACGCGAATCGACGCTACATCGACGCTAATCGACGCTACAAGTCCCCCCCCAATGTGACGAATCCCTAGCATAAGCTGACCCAGGCAATGTCGAAACTGCGCCAAAGCTGACCTGCCCCATTAAAACTAACGTAACCAACGGCTCGGCGACACCAGTGTGTCACGCGCGCGCGCTGTAGCACATGATGCACCAACACGAGACAATACAGCAACATGCACTACAAAGGTGCTAACTGCATCACTCATCGATCCTCCTTCGTTTCCTATGAAGGGATCTGGCCGGCGCTGAAACGAAAACAACGTTCGCATTCATGGATGTGGCTGGCGCTGTGGCGAGAGCAACATTCTCAATTATGGATGCGGCCAGCGCTGACACGAGAGCAACTTTCCCAATCGTGGATATGGCCGTCGTTAAAGCGAGCAAAAACTGTCGTAATCGTGGGTGTGGGCAATGCTGGAGCGAAAGCAGCATCTGCAGGCGTGGATGTTGCCGGCACTGAATCGAGAATAACTTTCACAGCCGTGGGTGTGGCCGGGTCGTGGATGTGGGCGGCGCTGAGGCGAGAGCAACTCTCGTAACAACGGCTGGGGCCGGCACTGAACAAAGCTCACAATCATCGGCGTGGCCGGCGAAGATGCGGAACCACCATTCGCAATCATGGATGTGGCCTGCGCTGCGGCGAACGCAAGATTCGCAACCATGGATGTGGCCTGTGTTAAAGACCAACACCAATTCGACATCGTGGATGTGGCCACTGGTGATGCGAGAGCATCCGTCGCATTCGTGGGCGAAGCGTCCTGCAGCATCACTAAGACGAGCAGCGCTGGAAACAGCAACACCATGCGCAGCAACACCAACGCCAACAACAACAGAAAGAGTGGCGCAAGCCACACAAGCCACACCAGCACCACCTCTTCGACCAACACGACTGTTAACAGCACCACCACCACCAACACGCGCACCAGCACCAACGACACTAGCAGCACCAGTGTGACGACCACGACGGGGTGTGGAGCAGCAGCACCACTGTGACCAACACGACAGGAAGCAACACCACAGCACGCACCAGCACACGCGCAAGGAGCAGCACCGCCGCAACGCGCACGACAGGATCCAGCAGCGCGGCACGCGCCCATAGAAGCACCACGAGCAGCACCACCACTGTAATCAGCACGACGGGAAGCCACCGCACCACGCGCACCAACACAAACGCCACCAGCAGTTCCACTAGAACGAGCACGACGGGAACCGGCCACTCCAGTCGATTGACGCTGGACTGCGCGAGCACCCCCACCCCCCTGCAGGCCAGACCAACGGGGGGAACGGCGTTCATTTCGGCCAAGAGCCTCCGAGGGGGCGAAACGGCGCTAGAGCGCGCCAAGACGGCCCAAGACGCCCCCAAGAGGCCCCAGGAGGCCCCCAAGAAGCCTCCAAGAAGTCCCCCAGAAGCCTCCAAAAGGCTCCCCCCAAACCCCCCAAAGGTCACACAGCGACTGGAGTGTAATGTTATTTTTCCCCCTCTGGGCGAACTGCGGCGCAGCGCCAGCCAGGTGGAAGTTGGTCGCGCCCATGATTAGAGCCGGCGCTGGAAGGGAAGATGGGGAGGGTGTATGAAAAGGAGGGAGGGGGGAAAGGCCCACAAAAAGTCCCCAAGAGGCCAAAAGAACCTCCAAGGAGGCCTCCAGGAGGCCCCCAAAAGGCTCCCAAGAGGCCCCGCGACGACGTGACTGTACGTGCTCCGGACGTGCACCCCGCGAAGCGAGAGGAATCATATGTGGCATGTGCCACCGCGAGAACGACATGCTCATCGAAAGATGAGGCCGGCGCATGGGCTTCAGCGACATTATTCATCAGACATGCGACTGGCGCCACAGCGAGAACGACATGCTGAATGAAGGATGTCGCCGGCGCCGAGGCAACAGCCGCATGTTCAATCCAAGATCTGGCCAGGGCCTAGGCGAAAACGCCATGCTCAATGAAGGATGTCGCCGGCGCCAGGGCGGCAGCAACACTTCCAAGCAGACAGTTGGCTGGCGCCAGGGTGAGGACGGCATTCTCTATTCTCAGCACCTGTGGCACAGAGGGACTTCGGCCGTCTCTGGAAACCAGGCGGGGAGCAGCCCGGTCGCCACCCTTGCTTGACGCAGCTGGGGGAGAGCCTCTTGCCACTCGGCCCAGCCAGCAGAGTGTAGGATCCTGCCCCCGGATCCACCCTGGAAAGGCTCCTTGACACGCAGTTACTTTACGGGGGCCTCCTAACGTTCGGAGGTGAGGGAGCCAACGTCCCGACGGTGCTGCTGTGGGCAATCCATCGCTTCGTTGAGCCAGCGGGCAGAGGGGTGTGGCGCTGGCGCCCGGGTTCTCTCGCTGGCTACCAAGAGAACCCTGTGCAGCTGTGGCGGCTCCGGGCTACGTGGGCCGTCGCTCTTCTCGGGCTCTGGCCTGAGGTTGTAAGGAGGAGGAGGAGGAGGAGGAGGAGGGTTGACTGTATGTGAACTCACGCATGTGTTTGGGGTATTTCTCTCGGAGGTGGGCCGCGCGCTTCGCGCGCGACCAGCTCGGGTGTGACATAAAACGGCATGCTCAGTGTAGGACGCCGCTGGCGCCTGAACGGCAACAGCATTTTCCATCAGGAATGTGGCCCACGCACAGGCGAGAACAACACGCTCAATGAAGGATGTCGCTGGCGCCTCGGCGGCAACAACATCTTTAATCCGAGATGTGGCCCGCGCACAAACAAGAACACCATTCCGAGACAAACGTGTCGTCATAATGCAAGTGCCACGCCCATTCCGCGCGGGCCGGGCTCGGTGTCACCGAGGTCCTGGTTCCGTTGGCAGTTCACGGTAAGGGGGGGAGTTGCAGCCGAGGCTGAGTCGGCGCTATCTTTTGACTAAAACACCCACGCCAGCGGACGCTAGTCGACACTAAAGACAGAACGAAAAGGGTGTACCAGGCTCTTACGATTATTATTAAAACAAGACGATCGCCAGAAACGTACACAGTTGGCGCTCCGCGCGGATTTCTTGGAACTGCGCTGGACCCCCCTTCCCCCGGCGCGCGGAGCGCGCCAGGGGCGGCGCCAGAGGCGCCGCCGACGGGGGGCCCAGCGCAGATCCAAGAAACCCGCGCGGAGCGCCAAAAGATCATGTCTATGGCGATATGTTTTTTCTTCGATACCAGGCCCCCATGATCTGCTACCGAAGCATGCGCTTAAGTCGGGCCTGTCCCCCTACAAAGGGAATTTCGACGACAAATAAAAACAACTCCAAACATATTCTAAAATTGGAACAAAATACAAAACAAGTCCTCAGACTATTTTTGGATCATTGTTTGACTATTTTAGGGTATGTTTTATTTTTCGTCGAAAATCCTCCTGTATGGGGGACAGGCCCGACTTAAGCCTACGCTGCAGGAGGGCCGGCGCGAAGCCGCCGCCAAGGCCGCGCGCCCCCTCCGCCCCGCGGGCAGGAGCGCCGGGCGGAGGGGCAGGGAGGCAACGAGCGAACGGCATGTAGCAGTGGCTATATGTCGACCGCTGTCCCAGGCGTCGTACTCCGGGTGGGGTATTATATCGAGGGGTGGGCGACTAGCCTTCCGACGGAGCTTGCCCATTCCCCCCCCTCACCACCTCCTCCTCCTCCTGCTCCTCCTCCTGCTCCTCCTCCTCCTCCTCCTCCTCCTCCTGTTCCTCCTCCTCCTCCTCCTCCTCCTCCTCCTCCAACCCCCCTCCACCCGTTCCGACAGCAGTGTCCAACCCCCCCAGCGGATCCAAGGCGGGGGCGATGATTGCCCCATCCAGAGTCATCCAGAGTAGCGTTTTCGAACGCACCAGCAAAAGTTTGGGCCCAGCCCTGGGATGTACTTGGGGGGGCGTCCAGCCTCGATGGGGGGGCGTCCGAATAGCCGCCTTCGGGCGTATCCCAGGCCCCTCCCCTAGGGGGCCACATGCGAACCCTACCCCTACCCCCCACGATTTCTGAGGGGAAGGGTGGGGTTCACTCCGTTCCAGAGCTCCCGAGCGAAGTGAACCCCACCCTCCCCCTCAGAAATCGTGGGGGGTAGGGGTAGGGTTCGCATCCGGCCCCCTATCCCCCTCTCTCTGAGCGGCCAGTCTTCTCGAGCGGAGCTCAGGGGGTGGGGGGAGACAAATCGCCTGCGACAACACACCACCCATCTCGCCCTCAGAGCGGCCCAGCCCGGAAAAGCTGCGCCCCGCCGCCCCCCACGAAGTGGCACCCTCGGCGCTCCCCCCTGGAGGGCTCCGTGGCGGAGGGCTGCCCCCCGCCCCCTCCGCTTCCGCCTCCTCGGCGCCCCCAGATCCCCGACGTCGTGCCTTCTTCACGCCGTCGACCCCCGGAGGTGGTCTCAGCCCGGGTCTTTTCTTGACGGTCCCGAGGGCCGGTGAGGGCCCCCAGAGGCTCAAAACATAACAGAGCCTGACGTCGTGATTTCTTCAAAGCGCGAGGCGAGGGGGTCTGGGTCCTCGTCCTGCAGCGCCGACTCTCCAGCCAGCCATCCTCCGCCTCGGTGGCACCCTCGGGGAGTCGCGGCACCCACACCCGCAGGGGGGAGACGGAGGGGGCTATATGGGTGCGTGTGTGGGAAGGGGCCCTCCGCTCGAATGGGAGCCTCCCCCGGGGTCCGACAACCCGCGCCCACACCCATAGCCAGCCCTCCTCCCTCCGACCCCCCTCCTCCCCGCCATCCCGCAGGCAGGGGCGGGGGGTGGGGGGGCAGGGGGGGGCGGGCGGGGCGTGGGCGTTCGGGCCAGCGCGACTGCGGGGCTGAAGGAGTTCCAGCAGCAACCCCTCCCTCAGGCCAAACTCACGCGCGCCGCCGCCGCCGCCAGCCTGCCCCCGTGCGCACTGCGCCCGGGGTGGGGCGGGGGGATGGGAGAGGGAAGGCGAAGGCAGAACCGAGGCAATATCGGACCGATATGAATCGGCAAGATTTCTGAGAATCGGCGGGCCTGGAGGGGGCATCGGGCGCTGGGGCCCTCTCGGAGCGTCCTGGAACGCTTTGGAACGGATCTATCTCGTCACGAGGCCCGTCCGAGGGAGGGACTGTGAATGGTGGGGAGGGGAGGGGGAAGCCCGAGGGGAAGGGAGGGCGGATGGGCAAAGGGAGAGAACGGATGGGGAGGGCGAGAGAACGGGGGGGAAGGAGGAGGGAGGAGCGGGAAGCAAGCTGGGTGCGCTCGCGTCATATCTGACGTCCAGCCCCTCCCTCCCATCCCGTAGCATGGCGTAGATCTCCTCTCGATTCGCAGAAGTCGTCCAGGGCAATGATCCCGAGAGGGTGCGCGATGCATCGTAGAGCACGGCATAGCTGGGCGTAGAAGAGCACGGCAGAGCGTAGTATGTCATATAATGACGTGGCGTTGCGTAGTGAAGAATTGCATCACAAATCATTGCAACGCAAATCATGGCATCGCACAACGGCACAGACCAGAACACGGCATAGCATGGCGTTGAAGATCAAAGCGTAGCATGGTATAGAGCATGGCGTGGCACTGCGTAGTCAAGCACTGCATATCCTAGCATTCGAGCTGAAGGCATGGCATCGCACAACGGAACACCGCATGCTACATCGCGTTGAGTGCCATGGCATGGCCCTGGACATAACGACGCCAACGCTGCAGCGGGAGCACGATTAGGACCGAACGGAAGCGCGGAAATGAGGCCAACGCTGCAGCGGGAGCACGATTCGGAACGAGTGGAAGCCCGAAACTGAGGCCAGCGCTTCAGCGGGAACAACATATTGAAAACAAACCCAAGCGAAAACCCAACGCCCGGGAATCCTGTATAAAAATGTACGCGGAGGGGGGGCGAATACCTTCTGGACGTCGTCTCGGGAGAGAGGAAAGTAGTATTCAGATTGTGTAGTTGTAAATTGGGATGGAGGCGTGGAAGGAATGAGAAGGAGGGGTCGGAAAAAGAGAGGAGACTCGATTTGGATTTGCCTAGCGTCGCGCGCTGGGTCGCCTCAAAGTTCGCAGCGGCCGAAGGACCGTGCTCAGAGGGAGTTGGGGAAGGATGGAGGGGGGATGGGCGGGATGGGAGAGGTTGGGAGTCATGAGGGAGGGGAGCGAGGGTGGGAGGGGGGGAGAGAGGATAAACGATGGCGTTCCGAGGGGCAAATGACGGAGCTGTGGCCTCCGAAAATCTTGACACTTGCCTCGTGGACATCTTTTGGTCCTGGATCGGTTCGGGGGATAGCCCTGGAACACGAAACCGGTCTCTGTAGAACACTCCGGGACTCAAGCGCTGAGCCCGCCGGCACTTGCTACGCCCTGGGTAGAAGAGAGGCTCTCACCTTGACGACTCCGAAGGTGCCACGGCCAACCTCTCTGAGCACGCGCAGGTCGCCGAACGCGACGTTTGTGTTCTGCAGCGCGATGCGCTCCTGAGCGTCCAAGCGCGGTTTAGGTCGGGCATGTCCTCCTACAGGCGGATTTTGGACGGCAGATAAAACATAATTCAATACTCCAAGATGCAAAAAAAGAAAAGCAAGAACACCATCGTCCCCAGACCATTGTTTGACTATTTTTGAACATTCCTCCTGTAAAGGGACGCGCCCGACTTAAAGCACGGCCAACAGAACCATGGACCGAACCAGGCTCGGTGGCGCGCGCAAGGGGGGGGGGGGCGCGGAGGGGCGACCTTGTGAGAAAGCGGGGGTCGCTTGCGAGGGGGCTTATAAGAAGTCCTCCTGCCTTCTGGCAGGGCTTCTTAGAGGCCCTCTGGACCCTTCTAGGGGGCCACATGAGAACCTTACCCCTACCCCCTACGACTTCTGAGGGGGAGGGCGGGGATAGGGTTCGCAACTGGCCCCCTACCTTCGGAGGAAGCCGTCTGCTTTCAAGCTTCCCCCCCCCCCCGCACGGTTTCCCCCGGGGTCGTAGGCGACCCGAGGAGGAGGAGGAGGAGGAGGAGGAGGAGGAGGAGGAGGAAGAGGAGGAGCAGGAGGAGGAGAAGGAGGAGAGGGAGGGGGAGAAGGAGATGGACGAGGAGGAAGAGGAGGGAGATGAGGAGGAGTAGAGAGGAGGAGATGGAGAGGAGGAGGAGGAGAGAGGAGAAGGAGGAGGAGGAGGAGGAGGAGGAGGGAGGAGGAGGAGGAGGAGGAGGAGGAGGATGAGGACGGGTCGCCCAAGCCCTTCAGGGAAACCCTCCCAAGTCGGGGCCTCGCCGGCCGCGGCCGGCCGTGGCCGCACGGGGCCGCGGAGGTGTCCCCCCCGTGCGGGTGGGCGGCAGCGCCTGCCCGCTGCGAGCGTGCCCGCCGACCCGTACCTCCGCGCCTGGCCTCTGGGCGCAGGTTGCAGGGCATGTCACCCTACAGGCGGCTTGTGGGCGAAAGTTAAACAAGAGCCAGACAAGACCCCAAAATGATCAAACAAATATGAAACAAGTCGTCCCCAGAGTAATTGTTTTGATTATTTTGGAATCTCCCCCCTTGTAGAGAGATACGCCCGCCCGACTTGATTATTTTTGAATCTCCCACCCTAGCTTTCGCCCACAATCCGCCATGCCCTCCCTTCGCCACAGCTGGGTCTGCGCGGGCTGCAGGGCATGGCCAGGAGCAGACTTCCAAGGAGCGTGGAGAGGAAGGCTTTCTGGGCGCCGCCCCCGCAGAGCCTGAATGGGCGCCGTTTCTGAGCTCCGTTTCGGAAGCAGCGGCGGTTGGTCACTTTGGAGCCCCGAAACGGTGCGGTGACAGACCGTGCGGTGGCCTCGAAATCCCCCAAGACCTCACCGCATGGTCCGTCACCGCGCGGTCTTGGGACCCCAGAGGCCCCGGTCGCCCGAGACGTGCTCGGAGAACGACCCGAGCCCCAAATCCGTGCGGTGACCCCGCATCCCCACCGACTCACCGCACGGTGTGGTCACCACCCCGTTGGGGGGCCCCCGAGTCACACCGAGGGACAGGGAGAAGGAGCCGCAGTGAGGTGGAAGAGGGAAGGAGACAGGTGCCATGATCAACGCTAACTCCTCGAGCACGCTTCCCGGACGGCGGGAAACCGAGAGACACACACACACACACACACTTCCACCGCGGAGGCCCTCGTGGACAATTCGCCCGGATCCTCCCTGGACGCGCCGTCGCTCCGTCTGTAGCACAGTCAATCGCGACCTGTCGACTCCTCCGAACATAGACCACGAAAGATCCACCTCCTTTCAAAACGACGCATCTCAGACACAACGTGCATACCCGAATGCGGGTCGGAGCTCAAGACAAACGAGGCAGCCTGAAGACTGTGACCGCCAACATCTGACCCGCCACGGTTCCCGCCAAGACCCGCCCAGATCCTCCAGGTGCTGCTTCATCTTGTCGTCCACGAAGTGCAGGAAAGCGGACTTGTCCATCACCATCAACTCCGCCTCGGGAATGTCGGATCGACATACAGTGGGGGCTCGGCCACAAGAAACCTTCCGCAAGAAACCCAACCCTGGAATCCGCGATTCGTTCAGTGAAAACCCACATGCGTCGATCGAAAATCGTCCAGATCTGATGGGGAGCCCATCAAAACCCAAGAAACCCAGGGCACCCTGGAGGCAAACAGGGTGTTTCTTGGCATGGGCCTCCACTGTGGATCAGAGAGCCGCGCCGTCGTGCTGGCCCCAATGGTTGGCCCTGCATCGCCCCATGCTCCGTATCTGGTGGGCACTGGGCAAGAGCTCTACAGATTGCCTCGAAGGGGGCGAATGGAGGCTTCAATGCGCAATGGCATGCCCGCCCGCCGTACAGTGGGGGCTCGGCCACAAGAAACCTCCGCAAGAAACCCAACCCTGAAATCCGCGATTCGTTTAATGAAAATCCACATGTGTCGATCGAACATCGTCCAGATCTTATTGGGGAAGTCCAAGAAACCCAGGGCACCCTGGCAAAATCCAGCTGGTGTCTTGGCACGCGCCCCACCTGTATTCTATCTGGACCCCCCGCAGGCGCAAACAAGGAGGGTGCATGGCTCCGTTGGCGAAGTCCCTGGCGTAAGCTGATTAGAAGGCCGCTGCGGGCAAGTGTGATGTACTGCCATTGAAGACCGTGTCCCAAACTTAGCGCTCTGTGAGCAAATCGAGTGCGGTACACTCCGTCCGCTATGCCGTCGAACAACACCAAGAAGTCCGCCGCAGGCGCAAAACACCAAGCATAGGAACGAAACGAACAACAATGAAAGCGTCGAGTCAGTACATAAAAATGAAAGGACGGCGACAAAACGCACCCAGCACCTGCCCGACATTGAAGAATTCTGCGTGGGCGAATCCCAATCACACTGATGATCTGGGCATCTTGGGGGCATCTTGGGTCGTCTGGAGGCCGTCTTGGGCGTATTGGACCATCTAGTGGCCTTCGGTTCATCCCGCCACCATGCCTGGGTTGTGGGTTAGAGGCCTCTTGGAAGTTCGTTTGGAATACGTTGGAGGCCTCCTGGGAGCCGCTTGTCAGTTTTGGAGGCCTCTTGGGGGCCGTTTGGGGTGCTGTTGGGGCGTCTTGTTGGGCCTGTGGGGGGCTTCGTGGGGCCTCTAGTGGGACTCTTGGGCTCTGTTGGGGGCCTCATGGAGCCTCCTGGGGCCTCTTTGGGCGGAAGACTCGAATT